TTTTTTTTTTTTTTTTTTTTTTTTTTTTTTTTTTTTTTTTTTTTTTTAAATACTGAAACCAGGGAGAAAAAAAAAATACAAGTAGATAGCTAAATATTATGTGAAAATATATTTTTCTTTCAAAATGTCCGTTTTAATAATTGTGTATATATATTCAACGACAATTGAAGCATTGACTTTTAATATGTTATGGTTAGATTATAATTTTTGTTGAATTTTCAAAATTGTGTTAGTGTATGGTCAATTTTGTAATGAATTGATTCTTTACGAAGAGGAAGAAAACTCGGGCCGGGTTGAACCCTGGTTCGAAACCCAGTGTTACCTAAGCTGCGGGCCAGCCATACGAAGGAACTAGAAATCCATGACAGACGCAGCCCACGGTCTAGAGACAGCCCAGATGCATACATGAAGCCCAATCCTCGGCCGGCCCAACTCCCACGCCAAGCCCGTGATACAGCAAGAAGCACCACAGCCCAGTATCCTCGGCCGGTCCAACTCCCACGTCCATGAAGCCCACGTCAAGCCCATGATCCAGCAAAAGCACCACTGCCCAGTATCTTCGCCCGGCCCAACTCCAACGTCCACGAAGCCCACATCAAGCCCGTGATCCAGCAAGAGCACCACAGCCCAGTATCTTCGGCCGGTCCAACTCCCACGTTCATGAAGCCCACGTCAAGCCCGTGATCGAGCAAGAAGCACCACAGCCCAGTATCCTCGTCCGGCCCAACTCCAACGTCCACGAAGCCCACGTCAAGCCCATGATCCAGCAAGATACACTCCAGCCCAGTATCCTCGGCCGGCCCAACTCCCTCGTCCATGAAGCCCACGTCAAGTCCGTGATCCAGCAAGAATCACCACAGCCCACCAGCTTCACCGCTGCGGCTCGAAACGCGAGTCCAAGTCGCCTTAGAGCACGGCGCAATCTTGGCCACTGATTTCAAAACTGACATTTCTATTTTTCACATTTAAATTTAAATTCTAATTGGTAGACGGATTTAGGTAATATATTTTATTTTTGTGGTGAAAATTTGATAATATTTTGTTGCCCATACCCGAATTTTCTGGAAGTGTCGATCAATTTATTATTATTATCATTATATTATTGCATTTGTGAGAGTTTGGTGTGCCAAATAATTTTTTTTATCATATTGACGTCAGCATTGTAAATTTATTAAAACTTTATTTTCTTTCCTTTCACTAAAAATAAATTTCATTAATAAAAAAATTAGATATCAAAATTTTCATTATTCTTCAAGTTAAACTAATCCAATCGAGATCAAATTAAAACACGAATTAATTTGTGAACAACATCATATTCATAAATTCTTCAAAATCCAGCTTCCCATCCAAATTGGTGTCATAAGCTCGGATCATGCTTCTACAATCAACCTCGCTTCTATTTGCATCCCAAAGCTCAAGCCTCGATAGCACGTTTTCGAGCTCCTCGCAAGAAATGAAGCCATCACCATTCACATCAAACACTTTAAAAGCCATATATACAATCTCCACATCTTCATCTTCATCTTCATGCTCATCAACCAACCCACCCTTGCACTCGCCTTTATTTTGCTTCGACATCGACTCATAAAAGATCAAGAACTCATCGAAGTCGAGGCTCGGTTTCTCGAGAAACGACTCCAACTCCTCCATGGTCAATTGGATGCCAATGGTGTCTAGGAGCCACTTGAGCTCCTGCACGCAAATGAGGCCATCCCCGTTCTTGTCGAGCCTGTTGAAGATCCTGAGCAAGTCGTTTGAGCTAATAGGAGGAGCCATGGGTTTGGGTTATTGGCTTAGCCGCCAGGTGCAGATTTTATAAGCAAATCAAAGGGAGAATTTTAAAAATCAATGGGTATTGGGGAAATTTGCTAGAAGTTTCTACTCTCGTTGTCAACGTTACCATACAAGTCTTCATCCTATTGGAAAGTCAATGGTCAACTCTAATATTGTCCATTGGTTATGGAGTTGAGAATTTATACAAAATTTGGAGATATTTTGGTCAGACTTTGACAAATAATGACCGAAGTTCATGGACGAGTAATAGACACGATGAAGGATTGAAATTTTTGGTTAAGTTCAAATTTGTGTCGGTGTCTACTAAAAGTGACATCAACTAAATGCTTCGAGTATGATCTAATTAAACGTTTTAAAAAATTATTCTGAACTCATTCTAATTCAAAACGGTTACTAACACTTACGTTGGCGTTCATAATTTAGTTGAAAATGTTAGCTAGGCGCATGTTCCTGGAAATTTCCAAGAGTCAAAGGAAATATAACATAGAATATAGATGTGGTGGACATTAAGAAGGCGGTTCAAGTGAGGGTCATGTTGAGGTGGGCTTACACCCCTTTCTTGACGTGAAGAGTCATGGGTCAATTTTCGAACTTGTCGTGATATTGGTCTAGGATATAATAAGATCGAGAGAAACCCAAACCCACTGGGTAACAAATACCATCTCATCTTGCTCGATTAAAAAATATGAGCTATTTTAGTCACACAACAAACTTCTAGTAAATCTAACCATAGCTGCAATATTTTGAGTTTGGACAAGCTTTCTAAAGTCCATTGTATTCATTTATTTTTGTGGAGATTTGGAGGTGGAGTCCAGGAACGATGAATATATGAACCCTAAACATGAAAAAATATCTTCCCTCTTCCTTTCCCATTCTCTATTGAAATAAGGGTTCTTCGCTCCGATTGAGACAGATCGTGCAGAGTAAATAAACATCTCTATTTGAGTTCAGTAGAATCTACCGATAACCCCATTTTCAATCCGATCAAATTAAATCAAAGAAGGCTCGAAGTGAATTGATAGGGCTAATCCCCAAAAGCCTATATATGTGTATATATATATATATATATATGAAGATCCAAGTTTAGTGTATATATTTTGAATATTTGATTGTGACACCGACAATACAACTTAAAAATAATGGAACCAAGACTTTATTAGGTTTATCGAAGTCGTCCTTTTGTTGTCTGTCCACTGTCCACTCCCCACACCCACCTCCTCAGCTTCTTGCAAAAGGAATAACCCCTCTAATAATAATAATAATAATAAATTTAATTTTCTCCCAAAATATATATTTTTCAAATAATCAAATCAATTAAATTTATAAAATCCCTTCAAAAGTATATTATTTAGACATCATTTATTACAAGTTTGACAGGAAAAAAAAAAAAAAAAAAAAAAAAAAAAA